CTGCTGCTGCTGCTGCTGCTGCTGCTCCTGCTCCTGCAGCAGCGACAGTGGGGTTGTTGTTATGACAGCTGGGGCCCCCTCGTCCCCCTCTGCCTTGAGGGACAAAGCGGGGAAAATTGTTTCCTGTTCGTGGACGCCGAATTGCTGCTGCTCCTGCAGCAGTTGCTGCTGCTGCTGCTGCGCTTGCTTCACTGCAGCATCAAGTGCCTCGCCGCGGTACGACAGCCACTCAGCAGCAGGCCCTGCTGCTGTTGCGCTGTTGATGTCGACTGACCCGAGAGGAAGCCACTCGAGGTTGCTGCTGCTGCTGTTGCTGCTGCTGCTGCTGCTCCTGCTAGATCCCCAAGGATTGACAATACGAAAAGAGATCTTCAGGGGGACCCCAGCATAAGAAGGGGATACTGAGGACTGCAGCAGCAGCAGCAGCAGCAGCAACGGCAGCAGCAAGAGCCGCCCACCTCGTCCACGCCGCGCCATGGATCCTCGACTGCTGCTGCTGCTGCTGCTGCTGCTGCTGTCGCTGCTGCTGCTGACGCTACTGCTGCAGCTGCTGCTGCTGCTGCCGCTACTGCTGCAGCTGCTGCTGTGCAGCTGTGGCCGCTGTCTTGCTACTGTGCTTCTCTGGGCAGCACCAGCCCCAAGAATGTGAGTTGCTGCAGCAGCAACTGCTGCTACAAAGCTGCTGCTGCTGTTTCCTAGGGGGGGGAAATTGATAAATAATGGGAAGAATGAATTAGCCGAAAGCCTCAGCAGCAGCAGCACGAGCCGCAGCCGCTGTTGCCGGTTCCGGTGCTGCTGCTGGGGTCCTGGGGCCCCAACACAGGGGGCCTCGGAGAGGCAGCAGCAGCAAATGAGCAGCAGCAGCGCCAAGTAATTCGCAAGAAAGAAGTTTTATAATTTTAAAATAAAAGTTAGCTGCTTCTGCAGCAGCTAAGGAGAGCTGTAAGGCTATATGGCTTTGAGGACGAGCCTCGTGCTGTTCCTGCTGCTGGTGCTGCTTGCGGCCGCTGCTGCTGCTGCTGCCTGCCTTCCGCGGCTGTTGTTGGTGTCTGCGTACCCTGTAGCTGCTGTTTCTTTCTGGCTGCCTGCGGTTGTTGCTGCTGCTGTTGCTGCTGCAGCTGCTGCTGTTGCTGCTGCGTTGCTGCTGCTGCTCCAAACGAGCGCACCGCTGGCGTGTCTGGACAGCAAACAAGAACTGGAGTGTATATACACCTCATTTTCTCACCAAAGTAGGCCCCTTTAGACCACTAGATCCCTGGCTAGCCACATTTAATTAGCTGCTGCTGCAGTAGCTAGCTGCTGCTGGTTTAATTGGCTAATTGGCTGGTGCTGCTGTAGCTAGCTGCTGCTGGCGTGGCTAGCTGCTAACCACGCCTAGCAGCTAGCTGCAGGTGTTGCTGCGCTTAGCAGCAGCCTCGCTGCAGCGCACTGCTGCTGCCTGTGGCAGTGGGTTTGAGCCGCCGCTGCTGCAGCAGCAGCAGCAGGTGATGCTGCTGCTGCAGTAGCTGCTGCTGCTGTGCCACTACACAAGTGGCAGCCTATAAGAGCAAGTTCCACCTGTGCGCAGTGGGGCCCCCATGGATGTGCCCCGGCGCCTGCTACCGCCGCTCTGCTGCTGCTGCTGCTGCTGCTGCTGCCGGCTCTGCTGCTGTTGCTGCTGCTGCTGCTGCACCAACACTGGAGAGCCGGCCCCTAGTTGGTGGGATCGTTACTATACGGGAGACCAGAGACATGAGGCGGCGGCTAGCCCGCTAGCTAGCTAGCTAGCTGCTAGTCAGCTAGCCAGCTAGCTACCTAGCCAGCTAGCCGGCTAGCCAGCTAGCTACCTAGCCAGCTAGCTAGCTAGCCAACTAGCTAGCTAGCTAGCTGGCTAGCTGAGTTTAAGCCAAGAGGTACTTGAAGTCCTGCTCATATAAACTAGCGTTCCGCCAGCGGAGCAGCTAGCCAATCAGCAGCTGGCTAGCCAGTCTAGTTGGCTAGCTAGCCAGGCAGCTATCTAGCCAGCTGGCCAGACATCTAGCTAGCAAGCTAGCTAGCCAGCTAACCATCCGGCTAGCTAGCAAGCTGGCTAGCCAGCCAACCAAATAGCTAGCTGGCTAGCCAGCTAGCTAGCCAGTCTAGACACTGGCCAGCAACAACTAAGAAGACGGCTCCAGCCAGTCCACTGAGATGCATCGGGCCGTAGCTAGCCGCAGCAGCTAGCTGCAGCTAGCTAGCTAGCTAGCTAGCTAGCTAGCCAGCCCTAGCTGCAGCAGCTAGCTAGGGCCAGCCAGCTAGCAAGCGCTAGCTAGCTGGCGCAGCCAGTTCTAGCTAGCTGCCCCAGCGCCCCTGGCTAGCTGCTCCAGAGGCCCTGGCTAGCTAGCGAAGAGGCCCCAAAGAGCCACCAAAAAGTTTTCACCAGCTAGCTACGCGGGATCCAGCTGACTAGCCAACAAGCTCTAGCTAGCTAGCCAGTGGACCCTGGCTAGCTAGCCAGCAGGTGCTGGCTAGCTCGCTGGCTAGCGCAACTAGCCAGCTAGCTAGCCAGCTAGCTAGCTGGCTAGCTACATAGATAGCTAGCTAGCTAGCTGACTACAATAGGCAGCTAGCTAGCTAGCTGGCTAGCTAGACAGCGAGCCACAGAGGCTGCGCTAGCTCGTAGGCCGCTTTCGCAAAAGCTCTTCTATTTTGCGGGCCTCCTGCAGGGAGTGACGCAGCACAGAAACATTTGCTGTGACTAAACGAGGACCCAGCAGCAGCAGCAGCAGCAGCAGCAGCAGCAGCAGCAGTAACTCACCGCCTTTGGACTGATGCGTTGCAGCAGCAGCAGCATCTCTGCTCTGTCTGCCTCCTCTGTTAGATCCTCTCCCAAGGTGAGGCAACTGCTGAGCAGCAGAGATAGTCC